AAAAAAATTTAACTGCCGAATGTGTGTAGGAACAAGTGGGGGAGCATCTATTACAACTGTTCAGAATGCAGGTATCCCGCACTTGCTGTGTTTGTTATAATTTTATTTTTGCCACAAAAAAATGCATCATTCCTAATGAATTTTAACTGGATTTCCAGATAGACATTCCTTCTCTAACTTCAATAGTATTGTAAAATGTGCAGCGAAGCTTACCCTGAAGGAAACCATTGCCTTTTATTTATTTATTTTTAAAGATTAAATAAGGGTACAGAATGCTAGAAGCTATCGTCAGTCCTAGATGGAGAGAATGTGGTGTTTGTTTCCGTGATGCTCCAGATGTGACTGCTGGTAGACCTATTAGTAGGCCGAAATTGATTTTTGACCTTGGGTTTGTTAAATTAAGGAAGCTGAGAAAGCAGAGATGAATTGAGTTAACCAAAGGAAACCTAAGGCATATTTCTAGCTTACATTTTTTTCTCATAAATATTTATCATAGCCTGTGTGGGAGGGAGTACAGACATACATGTAATTAGTATTTTCTGTGTAAAGCATTTCAGAGTGTAAATACTACTGTCAAGTTAATCTGATGAGAAGTGAGAGATGTTGTAGAGCTCATTTCTCTCACCTTTCAGGTATTTTTTATTGTTGTTGTTCCTTTACAAAGAAACATTGCTGTGTTCTCTACAAAGTGCCACTGTTCTGTTGGATGACAGGAAGTGGAGTGGGGGAGAATTTTCTTTTTTCCCTTATGTTTATGAAATTGGTTAGATGACATCTCTTGGGGGACAAGGCTGGAGACCTCAGTGTCTCTTGTGTGACGCTGAAATCTCTACTTCACCTGGGGATGACCACAACAGACATTTGGGGCCACAGGCTTGACAAGCCTGTTGAAGCTGCCCCTTGTCAGATTTAAATTAAGGCTTGAGGTGACTTTTTGACATTTTGATAATGTACTTTGATGATTCAAGTTTCGCTTTAGCTTTTGTTATTATTTTTATTTTGCAGGGATGCTTATCAGGTTGAATGTTGTAAAAATTGTAGTCGAAGTATATACCATCCCACTAGTTTTTGATCTTTAAAGGAAGTGGGCATTTCAGATATGTAGGCAATGAGATGGTACCTGTCATTTGTGCATAAAATGTGAATAAATTCATGTGATTCCATTCTGAATCTTCTTGCGATTAATGGGCATTGAGAGCAAATTCTAATGACTGGAATGTTTTGCAGAAGATTGGTCTGCTCAGTAAGTTCAGCTGAGAAAAATACATAGCTCATTGGGATATATGGGGATGGCTTAATGGAGGGCAACAGTCCGTGTATGCACATTGGCAAGCCTGATGCTTTCAACTTCATTTTCTATGTGAAAACTAAACATGCAGAAGCAAAACTGAAGAAAGAAGACTCCGATGTCATAGCTCATTTACACAGATTCCAGATGCCAACAACTCTGAGTCACTGTTGGTCACCAATACTCAGAATTGTTCAGAATATTCACAATTGCCCAATCTTGAAGGTTGGGGAGAGGGAAGAGTAGTTGTGCAGGTGAAATGATACAAATTCCTTTGCAGCTTCCCACCATCTAAACGGGTGCCATAGTCTCATCGTGCTGTAGTTAATTCCCCACATTTCTTCACTAGTTAAAAACTGGCTGATTGCCAGATACTTTGTCCATGCTACGTATTTCTCTGTAAAGAGGGTGACCACATCTTTGCACAGCTATTTCAAGAAGTAAGTACACTTAAGATTTAGTTTGTGCTCAGATAATACAGTTTTGTTCTGACAGTACAGTTCTACTTTCTCTGTTTATGTGTTTTCTAACCATTTAGTAGAAACAAAGATCTCTGTGGCTCCTAGTGATTTGTCCCTGTTTTGCTAAAAATCTCAAGTCATGTGAGGAAGAAACCAGTAAGAATTTTGAATTCTCTAGGCCTAAATGTAGTTCTGAAGCTTTGGTGACTGATCACCAAAGTCACTCAAAATTATTCTTGTTTTGTCAGTGCTGAGTGATTAAAGGAAGATGGAGTTTCTCTGAAGAAAATGAGTCCATGCACTGGGACAGTAGTTTAATGGCCTCATGTTACAGAATAATGCAGATCGGCCTTTTCTGCAACTATGCGAGATTGTACAATCCTGACGTCGCACTTTTTTGCAACTAACATGTAAGGTATATTTTGAAGAGCATTAATGTATTGGTTAAGCAGTTGCTTTTACAAATAGCCAGGGCAATGAAAGTTCCGTTAGAATATTAAGAAAATCCTTTCTGTAGACTGCATAAGCAATAAAATAAAATTATCAAGGAGAATAATGGGTTTGCCAACTCTGGAAAGATTCCAGGCTGATCTTGACATCACCTCTCTGTGAAAATTTATAAATCACAGGAGCAGACTTGCCTTAATGCTGACGAGCAGGCAGATGAAACACCAGGCTGTTCTGGGAACACCGAATGTCTTTTGTTTTTTGTCGCATAAGATTTGATCATTTAGCTTGTTCTCCTTGCACGTGAAAAGAGCTAGATACCGTAATTAAACACAGTGATTTTCAAATATTTTGAGACAAGAACACAGTTTTGCATTATTATTTGTGCCCTGTGGATTTTGATTGTACGTATGGCAGTATATTAGTTTCCTGTGGTTGCTGTACTAAGCTGGTGGGCTTAAAATAACAGCAGGGTATTCTCTCAGGAGTGTTCTGGAGGTCAATCCCAAATCAAGCTTTTGGCAGGGTGACACTCCCTCTGAAGACACTAGGGGAGAACCTTCTGCATCTTCTCACTACAAGGGGCTCTGGGTATTGTCGGGGTCATGGCAGCAGGATCCCAGTCCCTGCCTCGGTTTGCACAGGGCCTTCTCCGGGGTGCTTTTCCCTGTCTGCATCTTCTCCTCTTTTTATAAGGACGTTTGTCGTCGAATTTAGGGCCCAGCTAGGTGATCCAGGATGACCACATCTCTAGATTCTTAATTATATCTGCAAAGACCCCTTTTCCAAATACAGTCACATTCACAGGTAGTGAGATTTAAGGCTTGGACATAACTTGGTTAGGGGCCACAATTCAGCCCACTATGCACTGCAAAGTAGGCTCAGTCTTTACCTTCTCTGGGTTTCTGAAAACATTGGGAGGGAAAGCCCATCATTGAGAATCTTTCTGTATCCTACCACATAGTATCTTAAAATTCTAAATTACATTTTTACCAGAAGAATATTTTATTCTTTCAAAACACTCGCCTCATTGGAACAGCATAGTTCCACAGACAGTACATCAAGTATCAGCTAAATGTTTGCATTTGTCTTTGAATACGCGGGACACACAACACAGGCTTCTGAGGGCATAGAAGTTAGCAGTGACCACACCCAGACTGGGTAAGTGCCAGTAGCTCAGCCACTGGGCTCAGCTCCTCAGGTAGGGAGCATTCCACCAGCAATTGTGAGTATCTGTAATTGTCATTTGGCACAAGTAGCAACTCAGATACCAGACATTCTAAGTCACTGTGAGGTGGTTCAGTCCATTGTTGTGGCATGTGAGTTTTTAATGAGTTGACAGCCTCTTTAGGGAGTGCAGTGACAAGTGGTCAGCGTGTCAGCCTGCAAAGTGGCCTCTTGCAAACGGAGAGGAAGGTGATGACTCTGGAATGAGCTGTTATGCGGTTAGAAACTGGAGAGCACATTAGGTAACAGCACTTGGGAAGGAGGTCAGCAGACTCCTAAGTCTCATTCAGACATCTAACCAGCAAGTTCATTACTACCCCAAGGAAGATAGATGTACTTGTTTATGCTTGGAATCTGTTAGATGTTGGAAATTTGTACATGTTTTCATATCAAGAGAACCCCAATGTTCTCTGAAGATAACTAGAGACCCAGATGATCCACCCACACCCCTACCCCTGCCACCATGCACCCACCCACAGACTTCTTGAAAATTTGAGGTATAGTAAGGCCAACAGATCAGGAGGTGATGGCCATTGGAAAGATAGTTGAGTATTTTTGGTTCCTCAGCTAAGTGTTGCTGCCATGCCATCAGTGGCCCCATGGGGAAGCACCCGTGTTTTTCCGGAAGCACAGGAGCAGCGGAACCGAGGCCAGAGCCTTTAATGTAATTTTCCTTGGAAGGAACAGGCGAGGCGAAGCAAGCAGTCATATGATTGGCTAGTTGGAATTATCTTGGCAGGCCCTGGAGCCTAGGGGCCGTCCCTGGTTATCTGGTTCCTGGCCGTGGGTGAATGGGGTAGAGGACTGTGGCCTGGAGTGGGCAAGCCCCATAAATAGGTGGTTTGGTTAGGAGTGCAGGCCCTGGACTGGTTGGTTTATATTTGACAAGTGTGCTCTCCAGAGGAGGAGGAGTGCTGGGGAGGGCTGCGGACCGGGGGGGAGGCAGGAGACACGGCCCCTCGGGCACGTCACTGGCCCACGCCACAAGCGTTGTCTAGCATATGCAGGCCCGGCAGTTGCTGAAGCGCCACATTAATGGGAGCTAACAGACATGATTAATACACACACACACACACACACACACACGCACACACACACACACGGCAGTTGCTGAAGCGCCACATTAATGGGAGATAACAGACATGATTAAAATATACACACACACACATACACTCTGTTACTACAAGGGCTCTTCCAAAAGCAAGAAGCCACACACACACACACACACACACTCTCTCTCTCTCTCTCTCTCTTTCTCTCTCTGTTACTACAAGGGCTCTTCCAAAAGCAAGAAGCCAGTTTGGAATCTTGCTACCCCATCACAAAGCCTCGAGGCTGGTTTATTCAGGTTCCCATCGGGCTCCTGGCTTTGAGACTGGCTGAAACAGTGAGTTACTCATGGATTGGATGATTCCGTTGTTTGTTTGTTTCTTCATCAGAATACATCAAAGTGTAGCTGGCCATGTGCAGGCTTCCAGCTCCTGCCCTCCCCTCTGCCCCACCTGGACTAGAGGCCTGTGCACCCAGCAGGTGTTCTGCAGAGCTGTGGCCCTTACTGTGATTCTCTATCCATGCAGACAGCTCGAGTGGTGGGAGCAGATCTGGGGTTCGCCTCCTTGAGATGCAGCTCAAGAGGGTGGATGGGAAGCAGAAACCTCAGGATGCTGGTAACGTTGAATGTACCTCACAGTGTGAAGGGTCCATAGCCCTTCTTTGCAGCTTCTTGATGCTGAGATGTTCTGTGGGCATGAAGAGGTAAATGGAAGCCTGACATTTGGGACAGAAGACCTAGGTCAACTCAGTGTCTTGTGAATCAAGACTTGCCTCTTGGCCTTGGGCTCCCAGCCCTGAAATAGGGTAACAGTGGCTCCTGTAGGAAAGAGTGATGAGATGGCCTGGGAAATGGCTTCGCAGACAAGACAGAGCTCCTCGGCGCTCTGTGTTGGTTGCGGTTGCAGGCCCCTGGTTGCAGGTCCAGGCAGTGGGGACCAGCACCCATGGCTTCCCCTTTGCCCCGTCTCTTCCCCCTCCACTGCTCTGTTTTCCAGGTTCGGGGGTCCTCTTGCTGTCTTCCATCTGGGCCTGTCCGTCTGGGGACAGGCCTAGTTCTATATTCCCAAAGTCTCATGGCCGCCTCCATCCCTCTGGGCTCACCCAGTGTGCAGCTGTCCCAGGCGAGGGGACAACAGCCAAAACACATGCCACTGGCTGCTCTCCACCGTGGTGGCTGCATGGCAGCAACAGTTGCACCTGGTGACAGGCGGGACGGGGAGAGGACTGCGAGTCCTGGGTAGTGTTTTCTCTTAAGCTTTCCACTTTATTCCTCTCGTCCTCAGCCCTTCTTGTTTTCTGCCTCACTTTCTCATTTTCCGCCACGTTTTCTCCTTCTTTAGTCATTCTTGTGTTTGTGGACTAGTTCGTCCCCTCTTGGTTCAGTAACTCCACTCGTCGGGCTCTGTGCCCAGCCCTGGAGAGAGACAGAGGAACACGCACTCCAAAGCTCAGATTCGCAACAAATAGCCGAGTAAATAAATGGTGGTGTTGCAGTGCATTTTGCCTTACAGTGGGCTTGAGATAGAAAGTTGTAGAAATTCAGAGCAGAAAGCTACTAACCGGACTTCAGGGTTCTGGGAAATATCAGTGCAAGTAACTTTTGAGCTGGGTCTGCAGGAAATGAAGTGGGTTGTCGGTCTCAGAAGGGGTGAGGACAGGTCAGTCAAGGCAAAGTGTATGGCCAGCCTGATAAGGGAAGGAGCCGAAGTGTAGCTTAGGTGGACCTAGGGTACGACCCAGGAGCCAGGGGCAATTTTGCTGAGGGTGAAGCCCGATAATGAAGAACTTCATACGCTGTAATCAGGGACTTGGCAGCATATCCCACGGGCCTGGGCATCTGGTGAGCTTGAGCGCGGGAGCGAGGGACCGCAGGCGATCGCATTAGCAAAACCCGCTCTGGTGATAGTGCAGGGGACAGGAGTGCTGTGCGCTCAGGAAGTAGTTTCAGAGTCAAGGTAGGAGGTTGTGGCAGTTGTCCAGAACAGAGATGAGAAGGAGATTAACCATGGCATTAGCAATCTTTATTCATTTATCAGAATTGATGCAAGTGCTAGATACAGACGCAGTGCTCAGAGTCCCTGTGGGCCAGACTGTATGCTGAGCAGGGTGACATGGTCCCTGCGCTGATGGACACACAGCCTCATAGTAGAGGGGCTTGGATCCGATGGGCGCACGGCTAATTGGAGTGTGCCACTGGCTTTGACTTCGTTGAAGAAAATGTGCAGGGGCTGTGCAGGGACAATTCCAGGGCACTGGACTGAGGCTGGCATTCAGATTGGGCTTTGAGCCCATGCTGTTTGGGTTGAGTGCTCATCGGCCACGCAAGAGGAGAGCCGGGCATCAGGCCAAGGGCGGCCCTGCCACCAAAGGCCCAAGGCGGCTGCAGCACAGAGCACCAAGGCCCGAGAGTGAGGCTGGAGCCACTTCGTGGTGGCCTTTGAGGGGGCGGCCCCTCTTCTCTTCCTTCTCGGTGGGCTGCTGATTGGGGGTATGACAAGGGTGGGAGCATCATGAGAGACCAGGCATCCATACTGTGGACTGCAGACCAGCTCCTTGGGGACGTCAGGAAACTGAGCCTTTGCTTTTTCTAGTCCATGGCTTGTCCTTGCCCAGCCAGGAACAGGTGAAACAACATGGAAATACAACCTTGCGTTTTGATTCCCTTTTCTGCCCAGGCTCAGTGGGAGAAGAGCAGAATGTCCAGAAGTTCTCATTTGCTTTCTTCAGACTCCTTAATTTCCCTCCTTTTTCTTTGTTTTGCCTTCTTTCCATGCAGGTAAGGTTTCTACCTGCTCTGGGAGGGGAGTGCTCCCCCTCTGGCCTCCCTGCGCGGCCAGCTCTGCCGCCCTTCAGCACTCCTGGGTGCCCTTGGCATGTAATTCTAAGGAATAGTGCCTCCCGGAACACGACATGGATGTGTGGCTCACAGCACTCCCTGGAGTTGGGCACTGAGCCATCTGCACCCACTGCCCTGAGGCCCATTTTCCAGTGTGACAAGGTCTTGGTGGCTGCAGTGTGGAGAACAGAGATTGGGGGCGCTTGGGGTGTCAGGAGCCTGCCATGGGGCTGCTGGTGGTGCTTGCTTGGAGCCGCGGTGGTATTGGGTGGTGCTGACAGCAATAGGGTAAGAGGACAGACAGTTCCGATCCTTTCAGGAGGTAAAATTGGCAATGCTGGTCAGGGACTAAATTAAATATGGAAGGTGAAGAAGACAGTGTTAAGGAGCAACCTGAAGTCAGGTGGTGTATGGGGCTGGTTAGAGTTTTCTGGGAGGGACATTACCTAGTTAATTAAGAAAGAACTAAAGGGCAATAAATAGGCTGAATGTTCCTCCATCTTCACTAAAAACAACCAAACCAGAATTAGTGCTTTGGAGGTTAACCCTGACTTTCCCTGTTTGCCCTCTTGTCTCTGACACCCGTGGACCTCAGGTCTAACTCCTCAGGCTTGGGTGCCGTTCTCTGTCTCCCCATCCTCCTGGGTGCCTTCAGCATCCTCTGAGGGGCTGCCTCTAGTGAATCGACCTCCCTTCGCCACCACATTCCAGAGGCCCTCCCCTGGGAGACAGGCTAGTGGAGGTGAAGAGCTGGCCCCCGGGGCTTACTTCTGGGCTCCAGCGATGGGCTACACCTCTGCCTCAGTTGCCCCAGCCCTCTGAGCGGGCACTAAAGGAGCGGAAGTGTATAATCAGAGCCCCCGCGGCTCATGCTTCGGGCCTTCACCATTTGGGAGTAGCTGGAAGAGAGAGTGTGTGCCCGGGCTGACATGAGCGCAAAGCAAAGGCTGAACGCCGCAAGGTCCCACCACAACTAGTAAAATCAGCTAGTGTAGATTAGTCACACGATATTCTTTCCAATAAAGTGAAAGCCAGTGCTAAAATGAGGAGGAAAAAAGGTAAAAAGGATGGTTTACACATTAATATCCAGCGAAGGAGCTTATTTTGCATTTTCTACTCTGTGCTATTTTTTTGCAGGTCAGTAGATTGAAAACATTTAAACATGACCTGTTTTTTAAAAATAGCATTATATGTAATAAAGATACAAGTGAACATGAAATTTACAAAGTGTATAAGATAAATTTAGACCTAATTTAAATGCTGTGTGCCTCACCTCTCCTGTCTCGTCCCCTCCCGCACCCCACCTGACCCCTGCACCTCCCCCAAATTCCTGTCTTCCCATTGTTTAAAAGTATTTCCAGAAAGCAGAACTTTGTGACATTGAACATGTTTGCATTTTCTGGTTTTGCAACCTCCCCCTTTCAAGGGACAGTCTGGTTTATGTAAGGGCATTTTAAAATTAAACCCAAAATTATTTTCATTTGGAGAATTCTTTAATAATTTATGAATCCATGTGAGTAATTGGAATTACACTGATCAGTCTCCAAACTAGGTTTAAGAAGTACTGTTTTAGAGAGCGTGGGTTATATCGTTTAATTAACTAAGGCCTCCTTTTTATCTGAATTGATTTTGAATTCAGTTTAATACATATTTATTTGGGCTAGATAGTGTCTCAAAACTGGAGATGCCAAGATGAATCAGAGTGGGTAACAGATTCAAATGCAGAATTACACAATGTGAAGTGTCATAGGTCTGTATAAAATGCCAAAGTTGCTAATTACCATGCCTAAATCATTCTGGGAAGGCTTCATGAAGGAGGTGGTTGCAGAATTACACAATGTGAAGTGTCGTAGGTCTGTATAAAATGCCAAAGTTGCTAATTACCATGCCTAAATCATTCTGGGAAGGCTTCATGAAGGAGGTGGTTGCAGAATTACACAATGTGAAGTGTCGTAGGTCTGTATAAAATGCCAAAGTTGCTAATTACCATGCCTAAATCATTCTGGGAAGGCTTCATGAAGGAGGTGGTATTTAATCTGGGTCTTGAAAGATATGTGGGAGTTAAATAGTTGGAGAGAAATAGTGTCTCAGTCAGTGGAAGCTGCTGTTACAAAGTTGGGCCCTGAAGTAGAAAATGCCTGATGGATTCAAGGAACTTTCTTTGATGTTATATGACTGCAGATCGGTGAGGGAGGTTGAGGCCAAATTTAAACAGACCTTGTTCCTGTGCTAAAGAGTTTGGGCTTAGTCATGGTTAGTAAACTAAATCATCAATCCCCACAGTACTGATTTTTCTCCTCTATTGTGTGTGTGTGTGTGTGTGTGTGTGTGTGTATGCACATATGTATACATACTTTTTTAATGCTTGACTGATTTTCCTCTGTTATATAAAAATGTGTTTAGTATATATGTTATATATTGTGTATGTATATGTGTGTGCGTATAATTTTTGCCTCCTCAGTAAGACTTACTGGCTCTGTTTTTGACTGGCCTGAAGTTGAGCATGTAAAAGAGTTTTCTAGTACTGAGCAAATATTCTTTCACTCTGTACAATGTTCTCATTTTTTGAAAAAAAATGTATGCTGTTTAATAACAAACATAATTCACAAAGAGAATGTTCACAGGGAACTGGCTTCAAATTGGTCATTTCATTCACAGGTTTTGAACTGGGAAGGCAGATGGAGACAAGTAACCACAAGAAAAGCTGAGCGTGCTGGGGACTTTCTAGCTGCTTCACTCAGGAAGGAGGGTCAGTCGGTACTCTCGGCAGGGGGGCGGTGGCCCTCTGCCCTTTGGCCTGGCTGTGTGGCACTGGGAGTCCTTGCAGGGCCAGCAGAATGTGCTGAGAAGGACTGTGGTGCCAGCCTTGGGCAGCCCGGGCAGCATTGCTCTCCGGGAACCATCCCACAGGCTGTGAGATCCAGTCATGGGAAAGGCAAGGATCCTGGAAGGTGCTTGCAGCATGTTACAAGCATCCCGAAGACTCTGGGAGAATAAGGCAAGAATCCAGCAAACCATGGTCTGTAATTGTCGTTCTTCCAGTCTCAGTCATCCAGACACCTGGTCGCTTCTAACTTCTGGAACCCAAACCTCCTTCCTTAAACATATTTTTAGTATTTGTTTCTTGATTGGTTTGTTTTCAGGGATTTTATCCTTAAGAATGTTTGGAACCCAGAATGTTCCTGTATCTTTCGTAAAGGTGTCTGGGCAGCTAGGTGATATGTTGAACTTAGTGCCAGGGAAAGTTTCTGTTCTGATAAAGTGCTTCCTGTTACTAGACAGGGAACCCAGTAATAGACTGTGTTTCCATTTTTGCCTCTATTGCTGGAAACCTCTTACCTAGAAGGAAACTGAGGCTAAGAAAGGCCAAATTACTTGCTTCAAGGCCCACCGAAAACTGTTGCGTCCGCATAAATGCCTAGGTCTGCGCCCGCAATTTACCCTTGCTCACTTCTATGGAGGCTGGAGCGATATGGGCCTCTCAGGCGAAGAGCTGCTCGAGGCTCTGCCTTCAGATCTGCGCAGTGATGGTTCCTGCGAAATTAAATGCCACAGTATGCTAAATGCTTACATAGCGTAGTGGCAGGTATTAGAGATCAATAAATATGCTTACGATAATATCAAAGATTAAATGTGACAAGAGTGGCCAAATGCGGTGAATAAAAATACAGGTTGCACAGATAAATTGAATTTCAGAAAAGCAACAAAGAATTCTTTAGTATCAGCATGGCTCGTGCAATATTTGGGACATATTTATTCTAAAAATTATCCCTTGTGATATTTGAAATATACCAACTCAAAAAAATTCTTTATTCTTTATCTGTTTATCTGACATTCATGTTTAGCTGGGCATTCTGTATTTTGTCATGCAAACCAAAATTAGAATGCATGTGGAATGGTGGCCAATGAGAACTTCTGAGATACTTCCAGAAACCAGCCCTGCTCTTCTTGGGGAAGACTCACCCGCTCAGTGACTCAGATGATGACCCAGAATAAGCCTGGGCTTCAGAGTTTATTGATTTGATGCAGATTTCCTGCCTCTATCATCAAATTAACTTCAGTCATGTGCAGCCTCCTGGTGTTTGACATGTGCTAACTTCTGGAAGCTGCCGGAAACCTCTCAGCCTTACTTTGGTGCTTCCTAACCTTGCTTGAATGTTAGCATCATCCGAGGATCTTTGAAAAGTCCAGGCATGGGTGTTTCTAATGCTTCCATCCTGATTCCACTGTACTGCCTGCAATGAGTGCCACATAGGCTTAAAGGCTGCTGAAGCTTTGGCTGAAGCGAGGTGCTGTCAGCCCTTCCTAGCCCCTGCTGGAGTCTTCTTGCCCTCACCTTCCAGCACCTTCCACCTCGGTTCCTGATGAAGCTGCAAAGATAAGGCATGTTGGGTTTGCACAGCAGTTCTAGGCTAGGTCATTGTCATCCGCTCTGGGTTCTGTAACTCGGGACTGGATGCAGTTAATAAGCTTCAGAAGACTCTAGGAAGGTGACATGCCTTTTCCCTGCTTGTCATGTGCTGGCGGAGCTCCTCTGCCTTCAGTGGGGTCTGAAGCGCCATCTCAGAGGAGAGTCAGCTCAGAGTTACAGAAATGTCCATGTCTGATTAAATAAAAATGTCAGTCCTGCAGGAGCTCGGCCTGACACCATCTGGGAAGGTCCACAGGAGAGGCAGGGACTCAAAGGTCTGCCCCTGGCCTCCTGGCGTGGGCATGCAGTAGACAGTCCTTTAGAACTGTGGGCAGGAGTCCTGCTGAGTTCTTCCTTCCTGCTGCCTCACTGGCTAATTCTACAGTCACAGGACAGTTTTGTCATATTTTTGGTCTTCGTCAGCTAAGAAGTGTAACAACCTTGCATAACTTAGCCCTACATTTGTAACATCAAGTGCATAATTGCAATATGCACAACTTAATGTCTCCCCAGGGCGTGTTGACTCACCCACTTTGCTCTGGGTGTTATGTTGAATTATTGGAGTTCTAACTGATTGCTTTGTGGAGAGGAAATAATTCATCGCAGAGAAAATATTACATTTCCCATGCTTTAACGTGCGTGTTTATAATGCACATTCTCCTATGACCTCCGCTGCCTCGTTTGCATTTTAATTATTGTGGATTCCTTTCAGAGGGTCAGTCATTAAGTACTCAGCAGATGCTGAGTGCTTAAACTCTACAAAGTGTTTGCTCTTAACAACCTCAGTCCTAGATAATAAATGGTGGGAGTTTATCAAAGCAAGCGGTGTATACCTTTTCCTCTCGACTTTGATTCAGATGTATAACAATTTCTACCTGCTGGTTTAAATTGGTTACAAGAACACCTTTTGTGTTAAGCCCACTCGCTGCTGGACGGAAGCAGCACCAACCTGACAATAGAATAATATTATCTCCTGACTATACAAAGCCGAAAGCCAATGGGACAGATTGTTCTGTCAATAAGCCAAAGCTAAAACTGTATGCTCTCCTGCTATTTTTAGAACTTGAGGGGGAAAAGAATCCTCTGTATTGTAAAAATGATCCAATTAAATATGAAGTCGGCCCCTGGGAAACTCCAAGTGTCCTTTGAGCACCATTTTGGAGACCAGTGTTCCTTTTATTAGAGCAGAAAATGAAGCCCCTAAAGGTGGCAGTCTCTCAAAGGAGGACCACGGGCCCTGTGATTCCTGGGTCACCCGCATCACGCGGGTCGGTTGGCCGTCCCGGCGAGCTGCTTCCCACCGCATGCCCGGACAGAAGTAGTTTGATCTCGTTACACTTAGAATATGGGGAAACTTATAACTCGGCCTTAGCTGTCCCTGATGGTCACCAAAGGCTCTTGTAGATGATCG